AGGTACTGTTTTAAGACTGTTGTGTGTTACACGGAGGTACTGTTTTAAGACTGTTGTGTGTTACACGGAGGTACTGTTTTAAGACTGTGTTGTGTGTTACACGGAGGTACTGTTTTAAGACTGTGTTGTGTGTTACAAAGGGGTACTGTTTTAAGATTGTGTTGTGTGTTACAAAGGGGTACTGTTTTAAGACTGTTGTGTGTTACACGGAGGTACTGTTTTAAGACTGTTGTGTGTTACACGGAGGTACTGTTTTAAGACTGTGTTGTGTGTTACACGGAGGTACTGTTTTAAGACTGTGTTGTGTGTTACAAAGGGGTACTGTTTTAAGATTGTGTTGTGTGTTACAAAGGGGTACTGTTTTAAGACTGTTGTGTGTTACACGGGGGTACTGTTTTAAGACTGTGTTGTGTGTTACACGGAGGTACTGTTTTAAGACTGTATGCTGACTAAGGCAGGAGAGGTTTTTGTCAACACATATGACTGCTTGTTTTGTAATTAGTGGATAAAATTTTCTTATTCTGAATGCTACGCAGTAGTTAAGGGTAACCTTCAAGCACATGATGTATTTAATTGGTTTACTGATAAAAAAAAATGTTTTCTTTTGATGTACTTTTCAATAAAGTGTTATTATATCTGTACTTATCAATAATGGTGAGATTAAAAGGAAGTGGAAAGTTTAGGAATTATGAATTTTCCTAGAGTAGAAGTTAAGTTGTCAATCAGTACCGTTATTTCTTCATATAATAATGTATGGACAATACGAATCAAATCAAAAAAAACTTTCCTCTGTAATATTCATAAACAGGTTGTTCTCGTTTATCAGTTCTAACGAATGCGGCCTGAGATGGCCAGATGGTTAGGGTGCTCGACTCCCAACCTGAGGGTCCTAACCAAACACGCTCGCCCTTTCGGTCATGGGGGCATTATAACGTGATGGTCAATCCCACTATTCGTTGGTAAAAGAATAGCCCAAGAGTTGGCGGTGGGTGGTGGTGATTAGCTGCCTTCCCTCTAGTCTTTTACTGCTAAATTAGGGACAGCTAGCACAGATAGCCCTCGTGTAGCTTTGTGTGAAATCCAAACCAAACTCTCACAAATGTGGGTTTACAGTAATGGAAACGCGACATAAAAAATTTTCAAATCTCTTAAACTTCTTACCCTGACAAATGTTTAACTTTAGTATTATTAATGAAATATTATATTTTGAGGTATATAATGTGAGATTTAATTAACAGATAATAAACCTGTTAAAGTTATACTATAACAGTTTTCACTTTAGATACTGATATGACTGGATGTTTCTTTATGTCATTTTCAAACCAGTGTATTAACACTAAAACTGAGACAAGATTATTTATGTTTTACTTTGATCTGCTTGTATTACTTAAATGTTCTTAAGGATTATCACATATCAATCTTTGTTATGTTTAGTATCTATATGGTTACCTAAATCTAAGGATCGTTTAGTTACTGTGTACTAAGCAGAAGGCTTGACTGAAATAAATGTGAATGTGGAGCAAAACCTGAAAAATATTTATACATTCAAGCTATATCAAGAAAGAATGACAACTTCCATAATTCTTATTTAGACTTGTATTGAGTGAAATACCAAAAATACTTTATTTTGGAGCAATTTGTATTTATGGCAAATACAATCCCTAATTTTGAACTACTAACAACAGGGAAGGCAGTCGGTCAGCAGCATCCTATCGCCCATATTAATGAACTGACTGTCACTCTTACAATGCACCCACTGCTTAAAATGCATGAAATATTTAATGGCATTGCACAGCTTCAAATCAGGCTCACCAGCTCTGAAATCCAGAGCTCTTACTACAGGGTCAGTTCATACCCATTTTGGAAGAAATTCCAAATAGTCCTGTGTTAAACTAAATGAGACATCAAAAACTTAAAAAATAAACAGTTGGTTGAACCATTAAAAAAAAGTGTTTTTGTTCATTATTATCTGAACTTTATTTTATTGTAAACAAAATTTAATAAATCCAACAACTATATTGAGCTGTAAATTTATAATACTGAATTAGTATGTAAGTAATAACCTGAAAGTATGTTTAAATTTTTTTTAAATGAATGATACAGGTTTGAAAAAAAACATTTCAGTCATTATCAGTTAGGCTTGATAATAATAATAAATTAGGCTTGGGATGAAATTTTGGTTAAGATATTGTTTGATCTTTATAGCCGGTCTAATTTTAACAGGTTTTGTTCTCATAGAATCTTGATATTTATTTACTAGCTACAAATAATGCCTTCTGATTAAATATTTACAAAAGAGTCTGTGTGAAAATCAAAAATGCATCATGAAGCTTAACAATTTTGAGCTATTACTGTCAACTAATTGTTATAATATTAATAGGAGATTGATAGTGAAGTATTAGTTTTGTGTTTAAGAATTTGGATGATGATATTTGTATGTTTAACATAGTTCTACTAACAAGCATTGAATTTGTGTGCTACGATAAATACTAATAATTACATCCTACTTTGCTATGTGTTAATGAGTTACGTGACATATATATTTTAAATTCTTATATACTTGCATTATAACTTCTATTAGTAAGTTGGAGAAATAAGAATAGGAACAAATACTCCTCAAACTTTATTTTTTGTAATTCTCGTGTATTGAATATGTGAAAAAAACAGTGCAAGATATGGCAATTAAATATACCAAAGAACGCAAATTATCTTTATTCTTGTCAAAACTCAGACAAGTTAAAAAAAAAAAAATGGAGGGGTAGTCAACAGTAGTGTAGTTTAAATTAAAAATTCTGTCTGTAGATGATACGATTTTCTTTTGCCAGATGTACCTTTTTAACCCACCTTACCAAGGATGCTTCTCCTTCATCAAAGTTAGGATGAAATTTTTATTGTAACAGTTACAAGAACTTGTTCTTTATAAATGTATATCTTTAATTTTATTGGTTCTGAGACAGAATGAATTGTGGTGTAAATTACTGCTTTATGTACATCTTGGATTTTAGTATCATGGCCAGGATATTAGAATATTAACTCCTAAGTTATTTTGTCTACAATATCATTATTTGATTTAATATTTTAACTACAGTTAATAATTTTTATTTAAATACCAACCTTGAACTTGTGCAGTTTTTATGTAGCCAAGTTGTAAAATATATTGAATGGTTATGTTTTTTGTTTTTTTATGCATTTATGAAAAATATGTTTTGTCAGTAGTATTAGGAATATCTCAACCAGCTAAGTTGTTGTTGCTAAATGTACTATACATGAAATATCATCAATAAAGGTACATCTTTAGTCATTTTGAACAAATGGTATCTGTTGTAGTAAATACACAGCTTATAGCGGATCATGGAGGAATAAAATTCACACAATCGAAGGGAGTAAATGGTGTGTATCTTCAGATTATTTGAAATATTTTGGACATCATCTTAATCTGCTGAAGTTACTGCTTATTGTAATTGATCTCGGAACAAACATGTTAATACACTTTGAGGTAATTCTCCAACAGCCATAAATAGAATATTCTAAAAGTTTCAAACACTGAACACCTGTTTCTTCACTCGAACTTCTTATAGGAAATTAAAGTATTATTTCACAGTTTACTCAATGAAAATTTTGACTGAGAAATTTGTGCCCTTCTGGATTTTTATCATGTAAAAACCTTTAAACTTTTCCAGATTCCTTTCAACAATAAAAAGTATGATATTGGAACTATTCTCTAATTGTTATTTTTTTGCATATTTCAAAGTAGTAACTGACTTCAAAACTTCTGTCCATCCTACCTTTAATTTTGAGTATTAAAGTTTTATCTAATTAGGATTCTCTGTTATCTTTAAGTAGCAATACAAGTTTAATGAAAGTTACATGTGAAATAGAAAATGTTAACTCCAGTCTGTGGTAGGACAAAAATTACACTTTAACAAGATAATGCTAGTGACAAGCATTGAAAAAAGAAAAACCTGTTGAATTCGGAAATAATTTTCATGAATCACTTACCAAACGTCTGTTCATTGATTAAAACTAGAAGTTCAATACCACTAAGAAAGCAAGTTCACCAGTTTCCAAAAAATAATGCTTCTTTTTGAAAAGTTTGGTAATTTACTTTGAAATCTAATAGCTACGATTCATACAAAGAAGCAAAAAGTGTATATGCACACCCACTGTATTTTAATAAAAGCAGTATTAACATTTGTAAAATAAATACCTGACAATGTGGTGAGACTTTCAGAAGTTCATGCTGCCAGAACTACTTTTGTACAGATAAATACCTGACGATATGATGAGACTTTCAGTAGTTCATGCTGCCAGAACCACTTTTGTACAGATAAATACCTGTCAATGTGGTGAGACTTTCAGTAGTTCATGCTGCCAGAACCACTTTTGTACAGACATTTCCAAGCTACTTAACATCACCATTTCAATCTTTATCAACACATAGCTAGAACAACTAGTAGACGTCTCAGTTGTTCATAAAAGCTAATTTATAAAAACTAATTACTACACGTTATTTGTAGATATTGGCGTATATTTACAAACTCAACACACCAGTACTAACATGAATGAATCTACAATTATTTATTTAAAGCATAATGAGAAATACAGGCCTTGACAGGTTTTCTGAACATATGAATCCAACAATTTTTTTTTTATTAACAAGAACATTTTTATTAGCATAATAAGCCCTCAGACTTACTACCAAGAAGCATTCTAATTAAACAATAGGAATTATATTAGCTATATTCAACATATCTGGGTAATCTCCCGTTACTAAGTAATTGTTACACAAGTCACACAGACTGGATGCTAGAACCTGACCAGGTATCCTAACAAACTTGGGTATGCCTTCAGTACCTTTAGCCTTATGAATATCCAATATTTTAATCACTTCATTACTAGTAATAGTAACTGATTGATCAATAGTATTGGATTTAATTAGAACAAATACTATGCGATCAGATGTCAATGAGTTACTATACCATCTCTTGTCAAAGATAACTGTTGCTATATGTTAGATCAAGTGAAAAGGAACTCATAATGTGATTTTAATTGGTCTAGTAGAATAAACATATTTTAAAAAAGCTAGGGGTCAGTATTTGAGAAGAAATGTTGACTATAATTCCAAATTTACTATATGTGTACACAAAAAATTAGATGTGTTACAAAAGTATTCATAGTGAATAGTTAATATGCCAAGTGAAGAATAAAAATACCTTTGTCCATTTTACAGTTTGCATATTGTACGTGTATAACCTCTAGTACATCCAAAATACATTCTACAGTTTTATTCAATATCCCTGTACACTGTATGGGGTATTTACTCTCCTCTACTACAAACTGTTGCTAAATCAGCAATGTAGCATATAGAAAAAGGTGATAACTCTGACATCAAATACATATGTAGAATGGCACTCTGTAAAAGTCATTGCATGTGCATTTTGACCCCCCCCCCCACCTGTGCACAAAGAGTTAAGTAATAACTGATTTGATTATTAGTATCAAATTTAAGCAATTCAATATTTATATCACCACATATATAATAATGAAAAATTTTGAATTAAGTTACACACATACATATATTGTCAGATATGAAAGAGTGTTTAGTGTAAGTATTATTATTGATTTATTTATTTTGTATTTATAATTCATTGACGCCGAGGCTGTCGAAAATATAGAGATTCCTAGAAGGCCTATGTGATAGACGTATAAATAGCTGCAAGCAGGCAAAAAAAAAGAGAGCAGAAGAGAGTAAAGTCGCTGGAAAGAGAAGATCTACCAGGAAAAAGTTAAACACAAAGTTAATCATCATGAGAGTGAAAGGCCTAATCGTTGATATTGTTACAATAGCGGAGGCCCGGCATGGCCAGGCGGTTAGGGCGCTCGACTCGCAATCAGAGGGTCGCGGGTTCGAATCC